GGGAGTATATGTGCATCTGTGTAAGTGGTGTAAGAATCAGACCTACCCAATGGTGGGTCTCTTAAAGCTTGGTATTACCAATAAGTGGAGAGCATCCAGTGGTCCCAGTGACAGGGTATGTGCTTTGGGATGGATGTGTGTTGAGAAGTCCCACCAACCTGTAAGCTGCATAACGTTGCCAACTGGCTGTATCTGTTACAGTCCGTCTCCATTGCTTGAGACTGCGCCATTTGTCAGGAATCCATGAGATTTTGTCTTCTTGATATTTCCCATTGCTCTTATCATCAATTTGGTCAAAAAACAGCACTTAACAGATCAGGAAAGATCTCTTCCCTAGGAAGGGCCCCCATAGTTATCACTGGGATTTCCTCCCCAGTGGGGGAGAACATAAAAGCAACAGGCTTGTAGAAACGGAAGGGAGAAAGGCAAAGTTAAACCTTTATCAGAGCTGACACAGTATTGTTTCTGATGGTGCCAACAGAAAGACATTTGAATTCCCTGAGAGATTAATATGACTGAAGGGAAACGGAGCATATAGCTTAATCCTGGATATCATCCCTCATGGATGCACAAGGGGAGATATTTAATGGCTTGTAAAACAAAAGGCCCGGAAGATTTCTGAGAACAAGAGATCCTGCTGCACCATGTTTATGTATGAATGCACCTCTGGAGTGAGCTCACCAACGCATCCGCGGTCCTGATTGCCAGTGTATGAACTCCATGCACTCTTTAGTGCATTTATCCTGGCAGCAGTCCCATGTGGGCGTGGGGCAGGCTGTTATGCTCATTGAGCAGATGGGAAACAACACACCCCAACACTCAAAGGCTGGATCCACAAAAGGACTTTGGTGTCTGATGTGGATTTAGGCACCCAACCCCCTCCCCACAGCTGCTGCTCAAGACTGGAGGTGCCTAAACCACATAGGCACTTTTGGCCTGCCAAGTTTCCCCAGGTGAATACAATGATCGCCTGTGTGGTCATCTTTATATCCCGAGTTCTAAGAAATGTGGAAGGGTAGGAGACATTGTCCTCATCATGGCTGGATCTAGCCACAAAACCTCATGCAATACCGAGAATTTCTCTGTGACTGGAAAATACGTACATTTTAACACAGACAGCTTGGAAGCAGGGAAAGGGATGTGAGGGTTCCTGTTAAAACTAGTCACTTCCCTGTTGTTCACAAAGAGGAAAAAACAGGACAGTAGTCCCAGAGATTTACAACACACAGTTGTCAGTATTTATACTAGCTCTAAATCACTACCTCAGAGCAGACCCTCACTAGATGTGGGGATCAGCTGGGATTTGGTGAGAGAGGAAGGACAGAGAACAAAGAAACGATACCTACAGGATTACTGGCCTTTCCCAGCAGTAACAGAGATGCAGAGGGTCACTGAATATTTCAGCACTACTGGGATAAATTCATTAACGGTATAAATGAATGCTGTTCTCAGCTCCAATGATGCTGCAGGCCTCAGGGCAGCCTCCCTATCTGGACATCTAAGGATGGTTTCCACAACCATTTGTGTGGGTATAAATCTGCAGGGAATTCACTGAAATCAGTGGCGTTACCATGGATTTACATCAGTGTAACGCTGGCCACAGAGCTGGATGAGTAAAGCTATATTTGAACTGGAAACTATCGTGCATTTTCACCAACAGAAGGAAGAGTTGAATTCGACTCAGGTTTTATGTGATGGGCAGTGACGTTAGGTGAAGGGACCTGTGAAGTGAATGGTGTATTAGCCAGGCCTCCAGACTGAGCCTGAGCTGTGCTGGGTGCAAGACCAGATTGGATGAATGGGAAGGAGGCAGAAGATGCTTGTAGGCCACCACTACATCTCTACAGTTGTGGAAATGCAGTCACCCCTGGAGTGGATTACACAGCAGCTGAATTGCAGCATGCCAGGAGAGACATAGGGGTACTGCAACTTAAGCCAGGAAACAAATAAGAGTACTGTAGCCAAGTACATGAAAAGAATTATAGACAGACAAAATAGTTGCATGCAAAGTTCAGCCAGGATGACCGAGCTAACATTAAATTCTTCCTCAAAATAAACAAAGATTACACAACATGAGAGGGAAGACAAGCAATCTATCTGAAACCTTTTTTTTCCCCTCCACCCACCTTCCCAAGGAAGAGATCTTGTTTTTCAGGTCAGACAGCTTGACAATTTTGCCTTAAGTCTTACACCACCCCATATTTCTGTGCGCCAGGGAGATCATTTGTGAGTTCAGGGATTAACTTAATAAAGGGTGCTGGTGCATAATTGTAGATGTTGCCTCTATTTATATTTTTCATACTCTGGCAAGTCAGTTATTGCTGACATAATAGAGAGCTGCTTGCCTACTATCACTTAAGCTGGAATTCACTCTTTCCACACTGACTTGATCTAGCCTGCCACCGAGATGAATGTTTGAAACTGCCATAGATTAGTCAAGCAGATCAATGGATGGATGATGACAGATGGGTGACAGACAGTCAGAAGTGATAGGACAACCAGATGGTCTGACAGACTGACAATCAACTTCAAGGAATGAACACAATTACTTGTAACTGAGGTTCCTACGATGTATTATAGTAGCCTATGATAGCTACACTTCTTGCCAGAGCAACACCTACAAGCAAATCCTAAAGGAGATACAACTGCAAACGTCTACCTCCTTCCCCATAATCAGGGACTAACGAGGTGCAATTAAAATGGGAACAAGTAGATTAGGCTCTGCCTTCCAGGGTGCTTCTAGTTTCTTGATGCATCTAAGCAAGGGCCAGGCAAAAATCTGGCTCACAGGCCAGACTGGGCCTGCAGTAGACTCCATTTCCCAGCAGCCCTTGCCTGCATCACTGCAGCCAGTTTCTGTGAGACCCCAGTGACAGCACGGGGCCAGGGCTTCCGTGGAGACCTGCCTCAGCAGCACTGGCAGCACACGCAGGGCTGGGATCTTGCAGCAGTGACAGCATGGTCTGGAGCCAGGGCAGAGCTGTGATCTGCTGCCCACATGCCCTGGGCAGGGGCATGCAGGCAATGAATCTCAGCTATGCCCCAGCTCTGGACCATGCCATCACTACCGCAAGATCCCAGGCCCAGCCCCAGAGCAGCTCCCCACCCAGCAGTGCACCTCACCAGTGCTGCTGGCTCCGTGTCGTCGTTGCGCTGCCGCTCCAGGGGTCTCCACGGAAACTGGATGCAGCAACATGGGCAGGGGCTGCTTGGAAATGGGAGTCTGCTCACCGACCAAATCCGGCATTTTGCCCACCCCTGAGCTAAGCCCACCATGTCTGTATACTAAATAGGCTTGACTGACATCCAGGGGCAAGCCAGAGCATAGGCCCATGATGGAAACCATCTTGCCTTTTGGGAAAGGAAAAAGGGGCCCAAGAGACCTCAGTTCTAATCTCAATTTATCAGTTTCCCAAGCAATTTGGCTTGCTCAGTATGACTGTGCTATAGAACTGTGCACTAATGCCATTGGACAATGTTAAGTTGTTAATCAAAATGCTTACATAGTGGTAAATGCCTTAAAAAGTCTAGAGTGCATTATATCTACTGCATTGACTCTATTAGAAGATGAGGTCCCCCCGCCCCCACTTATTTAACATGGGGAAAAAAGCCCCTCACTTTACAAGTGAGCATGAGGGCAGGGGTTGGGACTAGAGCTGCTGGCTGCTCCCCACTGCCTCTACACACCCAGCCACTCATCCCCCAGTCTCCCCCCAGCTTTGCCGCACTCCTTTTTATCTTTGCTTTGTGCCAGCAGGCTCCATTTTTGCTGCAGCCTGGAGCACAGAGCACTGGTCCCAGCCCAGCCCCGTAGCAGCAGTGCTGGCTCCAAGTTGCTGTTACAGGGCTGGGCTGGAGCCATAATCTGTGCTCGAGGCTGCAGCAGAGATGGGGCTTACCAGCCTAGAGCAATGGTGAGGAGGAGTGCAGCCGGGAGGTGGGGAAGGGGTGGGAGGGAAGATTTCAATGGAAGGGGTGGGGGGAGATGGGAGGAAGGGGGAGCAGGGATCCAAGCCTGTGGGGGGCAGAAACAGCATGGGGGGGGAAGAGGGGAAGAGGGATTGGGGCAGCCTGAGGATGGAGGGGAGCAGGCACAATGAAGTGGGGGGCAGAACAAGTCAAAGATGGCAAGCTGCCTGTCTCCCTCACCGCCTGCCCCACTGCCTCCCCCCCATAACCTGCCCCCTCACTCTGTCCCCTACTGCTTGCTCCACTGCCTGTCCCCCTACCACCTCCTCCACTGTCTGTCCCCCCACTGCCTGCCCCATTACTGCCTCCTTATCACCTCTCCCCCTACTACCTGCAGTAGCGGGAGGGATGAATTTAAGATGATCCTCCAAAAATTAGATTTCATACATGGAAAATTTAAATAAATGTATACATTTTCCATGTAGAGTGTCTAGTTATTGGGGGGGGCTGTCTTGTATTCAGGGTCTTCTTGTATTTGGATAAATATGGTATGCAGTTACCTTTATGTCATGGATACAGGGCTAGCTACACCTGTCTCCTCTTTCTGTTCCGTGAATACACTCTTTAGCTCTTCCAGGGTGAGAATCCAGTTCTCCCATTCCTAAATTGAACCCTTGTCTAGACTCTTGTCTGCAATACATCATGGTCCAACAATGCTTACCAGCAGGTCAGACTGGGTATGGCGCTTCAGTACTCCCTCTTGGGAGTCTGCAACTATTTGTGTATCTATAGACCAAACAGCCCTTTTAAAACACAGTGTTGTTTAATAGTAAGAATAAAACATGCAGAGAAAGATTATTTTAAAACAACAGTCCACATCAGGGGTGCTTAACCCCCTGCCCAAAGGCCAAATCAGGCCCATGGTGCCATGGCATCTGGCCTGCAGGGCTTCCCATGGGTCACAAAATTTGCTGATGGGGGGAAAAGGGCAATTAATACTGCTACCACTCCTCTGCTGCCAAATTTCCAAGCCCTGTGGCTAGATCTGAGCTGAAGCACAG